TTTAGACTGGTAGTATATCAGCTGAGAAAAGTTGTTAGCCTAGGTTTGTTAATAAGGAAGGGTCTGAAAAAATTCTGAGACGACAGAAAAATTCGCCTTCCATTCTTCTACAAAACTGTAGAATATACTTTTCATTAGGAATAAATTAGTTGAAAAATGACTGGGTGCTGAAACCTGAATCCGAAAAATATAGTTTAAAGGCTGAAAAAGAGCTCTGAACTGAAAAAACTTTGAATTTTCAGAAAATGAACGATTTTTCGAAAAAATCGGTTCTTCAAGTATTTCAAATTTTTTGGCCGTAAAAAATTTTTCAGAAGTTAAAAACTACTTTTCCTTACTCAACTTATCGCGCTTTATCCAACCATGTATGAATTAATCAGAAAAAAATTTTACTTGAAGTTCGAATTGCCGGCATCTTGCTTATTTTTCAGACAAAAAAAGTTTTTTTCTCAAAAATTAATTTTCTTTTGACCGGACCGAATATATCAGTGGAAGAATAATAACGCTGTTTTCGTTGCGAGGAAAGAGAATTAAAACAAAAGCAATGGAGAAAGCTGCCCATTCATTTGTAGATTTATTCAAAGCAATTGAAGAGGCGGTGTTGGCATCAACCCGTAGTGTTTGTCATCTGCCCTTTTCACTTTATAGTATAATATGAGGTAACTGAACACACTCAAGGATAATACAATGCCAGTTCTTCCCAATTTTGACAATGTAGACAGAAATTCGACGGATTTTATGCTTCAATAAACTTACATTCTGCTAGTATATTAATAAATCTTAACATATGTTTGTCAACAAATATGTAGGAAGTGAAATTCACCTCGGTAACAGACAATAATTTGCTACTACCACTTCATCAATACAGAATTAGTATTAAAAATGATTTGAAAATTACTAATAGTGTAATCGCGTCCCTTGTACAGCAATCTACTTCACGCACTTCTAAACTGAATCGGCTTATCTACACCGACATCTCTCGAGTTAGAGCTTTCGACTGACTTTATAAACGCGCTTGTAATTGGCGAAGTGACTGGCCACTTGGGAAGACATTCACCATATGATTCTAAAAATGTGACTTAATTTATTTTGATTGAATGATTGAATGAAGTAATTGGTGGTTGGATAAAACACTGATTGTGATAAATGCTCATCACTCATTTCATGTATAGAGAAAGTTAACACATCTTTGATTAAATAATGCTTTCTGGAATATTGCCATTGAAAAATTATCTAAATTAGCATAAAAAGTTGACCGTACTACTTAACTTATTCTAGACGCTGAAAATGTGTTACAAAACGAGAGCCAGCGAAAAAAATGCTACCAATAGTCAAAATCTAATTAGGACCGTACAGAAAATAGTTTTTGACTTCCAAGCTTTATGTACTTCTACTCTTATATGAACATCCATTTTCCGTGCAGCAATTATAATGATTGGTAGTTCCAGCGTGAGCAAAGTGGTTTACTTTGCAAAAGCTGTTTGCACTGTGTTTTATACAGAAAAATGTTGGAAAGTGTGATGGTAAACTGTGGAAAATCATGTTACGAAATAGTTTCATGAGAAACACTGTTCCCAGGTTATGTATGTGATGAGTATGTTTTTCTTATTTTAGATAGTTTATTCCATGTATCTTTCATGGTATAAAATTAACAATGGTTTTTCTTAATTTTTTATTGAAGATTCCACGTGATACTGGTTGAAGTCCCGATAATTACGATGACTGCAACAGACGCATTAAATTCGTTTCGTTCAACTTGGCAAAAGGAACTTCATAATGGAAGAACAAATAACGAGCCATCGCAAGAACAACAAGAAGAAAAAAACGAACTCACACTTTTATCCGGAAAACGACCATTATTTAAAAATAATGATATTGAGACAATTGAGCCAATATATCATGACGATAGCGATTATTTTCATCAGAAAACAGAAATACCATCATTCACTATTGGTATAAATTCGTTTCATGTCGATCATTCATCTCAACCAATTCGAAAGAAAACAAAAACACTTGATAATCAAATTAGTTCAACAACAACAACAACGATTATTGATCAATTAATTCAAGATATTAATGAGACATACAATCAGATACCATTTTTCGACTGTCAATTACCGCGTGAAATAGCCTTAAAAATATTCAATTATTTAACAATGAAAGATTTATGTATATGTTCACATGTATCTCGATCATGGAATAGTTTAGCATCCGACGAATTACTATGGGAAAAGACATTTTATCGTCTAGGATTAACAATAACTGAACATACTATTGACGATAGTTTTGCAAACATGTCCTACTGGAAAAGATTAGTACGGCAAAAGATTCTTGAGTCAAGACAATTAGTATCGAACTGGAAAAATAAACAATGTAGCATAAAGAAATTGAAAAATGGTTTAGGTATTGTATTGACATGCGCAACAAATAATGATGTATCAATTGTGGGCGGTTATTCATCTGGAATAATTAAAAAATGGAAAATGGAAACCATTCTGAGTCAAGATTATATTTTAAATGATGAAAATGAATACGAAAATGATACAATAACACCCGAAATTATCTATGAAACAAGTGAATTTGTTGATGATGAAACAGAGTCATCAGCGATTAGATGTTTGGGATTAATGAATCAGAGTACGTTTGCCTTGCATGAAAATGGCACTATGGAAATTTGGTCTACTGAACGTGGAGGAAAACCTTACTATGTTAATACATTTCGAAATGTTGAAAATTATTCTCATGATGAAACATTATTTGCTTTTACAACTCGTTCAACGTTGCATGTGCTAAAGGAACAACAGCATGATGAATTACATCAATCAGAGGTATAGTTAGATTTTTTTGAACTTGTTTGCTTTTAATGCTTAAAAATCTGTTTTTTTTCAATTGAAGAGCAATGTGAATGACTATAATTCCAAAGATATCCAGCCACACTTTCAACAAATTGATTTTGAAAATGATCATATAATCTCGTTATCTATATCTAATCAACACTTGATGCCATTTAGTATATTGGCTACGAAAAAAGCATTATGGTGTGTATCATTAAAAAATATCCAACATCGTTTGTCATTTTATACGTTACTTTTGCCTGATTTTATGAACACATTACCGTTAGATATACATAGTGAAGAAACATTAGCTGTTGTTGGTGTTATGGATTATTCATGTGCCTATTCTTTGAAATTATTTGATTTACAAAGTGGACGATGTGATCTTCTTTCAACGTATGAAAATTTACCATCTGGTATTAAAATGATACGAGCACGCAACTGTCCGAGAAACGAATTTATTGTAGCTTATAATAACTATCAATTGACAGTCTATGATCAGCGATTAAAAATGAATAATAATGGTGGAGTTCAACATTTCTATGGACATTATGCGCCAATCACTGGTCTTCAAATGGACGAATGGCGTTTAGCCGGTACAGACGACTATGGTTTTATCAAACTATGGTAAATAAATTGTAGACTCATAGTATTCGTTCATCGAAATATTCTAGTCTGTTTTAGGGATCGTCGAATGGATAATCGTTCATTATGGTTCATACATCCTCAATCACATCCTATCACACACTGTTATTTTGACAAGAGAATATTGATATGCGCATCAACACCATATTATAAATATCCAGATATGACACTTTATCGGCAAAATTCTGAAATATTGTGTGGACATATTTATGTTTATGACTTTAAAACAGATTTGAGTACAAAAGATGCGCCAGAAATTTGTCAATCAAACTATGATGTACCAGAAGCATCGAACCACCGACTTCAACTGGCAACACCTTTCGATCGAATTGATTGAAATGATATCTAGCAAAATTTATTGAGATTTAAAGCGATAGAAAGTCATCATACAATATGATTTTAGTTCAGACTTGACATACAACGCAATTATCAGAAGAAGCAAAAAAATAAGCGTATTAGTGTTTATACGTGATGGTTTTTTATTCTTCAGCTACATTTTAGCAATACATTCATTTTTTTAACATTGTTTTGTAAATTTTAAATTAAATTTCGCATAAAATACCTTCCACTAGACTTTTCAACATAGTAAAATAATGGACTGAACGTCATTCCCGCTAGACATTTTGTTTAATAAATCTTGTATATTCCTCTGTAAAAAGGATGAAACGGTATGGTATTGACTCGCTGCTCTTTATTATAACCAAAAGATGTTTGATCTTCAACGGGCTCAAGTTAGTATTATTGTATTAAGATTTGAATTTTGTTTTGACATGTGAATCGTCGATTCCAAATAATCATGTTCGAGCAAAACACTTAACGATTAGAGTTTTTAACAGTGAGAGTGATGATATATGTTTGGTTATTGTTAGGTACTTGATCTTCAATGATCTGATCTCTCTTTGACTTTGATTTTCATTTAAAGAAATTGTTCACGTTTAGAATAATTCCCTATAAACATGACGAAGAAAATATGTACTACTAAACAGACTTTCTCTATCATTTGATTTCATTCTTTTCTTTAGTGTTTTTATTACTTAATGTATTTTTTTGTTTAACAGCTGGTGTGTTAAAAATTACATTAAGTTAGAGAATATACTCATTGTGATGAAAAAAATATGTGTAAGGATTAACAATCGTGGTCTCAACAGTAATATATTTTCTGAAACAATCGTAATAATTTAAGACAATTCTTTCAAATATTTTACTCCGATTTGCATCCGTTCTATATGCTTCAATATAAAACGATACGTTCATTTAATCTTTTTCTATGGATTTATGTTACTGATTTATGTCTTGTAGATTTGTTGTAAATTAATAATTTATTTTTAATGTTATTATTTATTTAATTTTGTTGTATTTATTTATCTCTTATTTTGTATTCTCAAAATATCTCATAGTTTAACTATATAAATGGACAGTTATTATAATTATGATTATCAATTTCGTTTGATTGTTGTTGGTGATTCAACTGTTGGAAAAGTGAGTGTATACTTAATACGATACTTTCAGATGTAAATAATGATTATTTAATGAGAAATTTTCTTTGTTTTTAGTCTTCATTATTGAGAAACTTTTGTGATGGTGTATTTTCAAATGATCCAGATCCGACAGTAGGCGTTGATTTCAATGTCAGAATCATTGAAGTGAAGCCGGGTGTGTTTGTAAAACTACAATTATGGGATACTGCAGGTCAAGAACGGTTTCGTTCGATCACACGGTAAATAAATGTCATATTTTCAGTATAAAATTAATCTTCTATATGTTTTGATTCTATTGCCAGTGCTTATTATCGTAATTCTGTTGGAGTTTTGTTGATATATGATACAACGAACTATACTTCTTTTACTCATGTAACAAATTGGCTGAATGAAGCGAGACAACAAATTCAACCTTATCAAGCTGTATTTTTATTAGTTGGCACAAAAATTGATCGTGGTTTGTTCTTTTTTTTCTTTCTTTTTTAAAATTTGTAGCATAATTTCATAAAATCTGATTACTAGTGTTTTTATTTCTTCATTCTTATTCTCATCATTTTTTTTAGAAAGCGAACGACAAGTTACCACTGAAGAAGCAAAAGCATTCGCCGATTTTCATGACATTTCATTTATCGAAACATCGGCTAAATCTAGTCTATATGTACACGAGTGTTTCGTTTTAATAGCTAAAGAAATATATGATATGCTTATTGACGGTCGAATAAATGTTCAAACGGGATGGGATGGTGTAAAGTCAGGTCCAAAGCCAACAGGTTCAACTACTAATAGTCAGTCCATTGATATATCAACGAATCAGAACAGTCAAAAAAAAGGAGGATGTTGTGGAAGAAGTTCTTAATTTTTTCTACATATCGGTGCTTATTTGTTTGATATAAGAATAGAATAACTAACCGATCTGTCAGTATTACTGATGAAGCAAAACAAAGTTACATCTTAAATATTAAAAAGCCAATGCTAACAATCCTGTCGGAAGTTATACTAAAATTGACTGATATTTTGCACTACTTTAGTGGATAGAGTCTGTAGCTTTAAGCATGGTTAGATCTGCATTTCTCCTAATAATCTGTTAGAAGTCAAGCATTGCTTTATGTTTTGTAGAAATCTCCTTTTCTTTCGGTATTAACTTTTTTTATGAAGTCTTATTTTTCAACTGTATTCTCGTTTACATTGTTATATTATCTGCTTTCATTCGTAAAAGCGCGATAATAACGCTCGTTTTCTTCTTTTTCAATCGTTTTGTCGCTATAATTGTTGCTTTCGGTACGTATTGCTTTTCCATGAAAAAAGTCGAAAGACGATCAAGAAGAGGAACTAGTTTATCGTTTTCTTTTGCAATGAAGCTTAGTCTTTCCACTTTTTTTGTATTGTCATGTCTTTTTCTGTTCATAAACCTTGTACATATAGAGCTTTCTATTATCTTACTGGTTTTTTGTAGAAACAGCGGAATTCAAATACGTAAAAATATAAAGACAGTGAGAAAATTAACTCTATACATCCCCATCAGGATGTCGTTTCACTGTGATCAGCTGCTTAAGCTAAATCATCGATCTTAGCATACGATAAGTAATTACTTGACCTAAGTCAATGTTTAGATTGATCGCCGATATTAATGAAGAAACAGCTACTTAAGCCAAGAAACTACTAGTTAAGTCTTCTGTAGCAGCATCCAATTTAAGCACACGTTTAATCGCAGATCTATCTGGAGAATACATTTACTATGAAGTAATCTCTAACCGAGTCTTTGAATTGCACTATCAGAAGACAGAATGCGATCCTAATCCAACAAACATCAGTATGGTTATTGTAGAGCGACATCTGCGACCACGGTCAAGAGAAGGCCCTGAGTAAAGGTTTCGTTGGCTGACCACACTTGATCAATTGTTTCTGTTCACCGGAAAATCATGCTGTAAAAAGTGATTTAAATTTGAATACAAGGTAACGCTCGGTCCCTTGACTTTTAAATCGAACACAATGCTCACGCCTCCCTTCGTTCGGCGCTCGCTGGGGGCCTAAATAAGGCATCTTTTGGATTTTTGTTCATTTTTTATGTATAAGGTTCGTCGTCTGATATTAATATATAAATCAAGAATCACACACACACAGACAACCATTTTATAAGACCCTACACTAAAGTCAAGGGAACTCTGTAATTTTCTCTCTCAGATTTAAAAGATGGCAAATAATAATTCTCGCATAGTCCGAGTACTTTCCATTCAGAGTCATGTTGTTCATGGTTATGTTGGAAATAAATGTGCTACATTCATTTTACAGGTATAACAACAAAAAAACGGCGTACTTTCTTTAAATATTATGAGTTTATTCTTTTCTTTTTTTATAGCTGTATGGTTTTGAGGTTGATCCCATCAATTCAGTTCACTTTTCAAATCATACCGGTGTGAGAACGGAATAAAATTTATAATATTATGTTTACACTAGTCATCCATAAAAAATTCTGTTCTGTTAGGTTATAAGGTTGTTGGTGGTTCACGTTTGAGTGTAAATGAGTTACGAACAATATTTGAAGGTTTAATTGAGAATAATCTGATAAATTATGATTACATTCTCACCGGTAAATGAATATTTTATTATGTTGCTTTATTTCATGAAAATTATTTCTTATTTTCTATCCTAGGTTACATGAGTTCCGGCGAATTAATGCATACGATTGCTGATTACATCCGAATTATAAAGCAAAAATATCCTAACGTCAAGTACGGTAATAATGCATTTTATTTATGTTATAACTGTTCTATCATAGAAGCATATATTGTTTTTTCGTTTTTTGTTGCAGTATGTGACCCAGTTATCGGTGATAGCGGAAAATTGGTGCGTTAATAGTACATACATCATCTAACGCTTCTTGTGGAGGGAATGAGATTTATTTTATTTAAAAGTACGTTGATCGATCTTGTATTGATGCGTATAAAAACGATTTGTTTCCGCTGGCTGATATTGTAACGCCAAATGCTTTTGAATTTGAGTATGCGTATTTATTAACTTGTAAATATAATCATTAAATATGTACGTTTGTTTTTTCTAGACAACTAATTAATTCTGAAATCGATTTTATGAATGAGAATAGTTTGATTGAATCGATGAAACGTTTACATAAAATTGGACCATCTCAAATTGTTATATCAAGTATTCAGTCGTCTTCCAATTCCAACATATTAAATCTATTCGCAAGTACAAAAATAAGCGGTATGATTTTGCTATCAGAGAGACGTTTAATGTTTTTAAAATAATTTTATTTCGTTGTTTTAGAGAATAATTATTCAATGTTTCGTATTGAATTTCCAAAAATAGGATTTTATTTTACTGGTGTCGGAGATGCATTTTCTGCATTACTATTAGCGTGGATTCATAAACAAAATGAGCTCACCGTAACTTACCGTACTTTTTATTAGAGTCCAATAATGTTTATTTAAAACATGTTTCCTTGTTTGTCTAGGTTGCATGTGAGAAGACTGTATCGATTATTCATAAAATTTTATTGAGAACTTTACGTTAGTGTTTTTCACTGAAAATTAATAAGATCAATTTGTTATTTTTTGTTTTGTATTTTAAGAACCATCATCTTCAGAAAAGAAAATACAGGCGGAAATGTGTTTCAATGAATTGCGTCTGATAGAAAGCAAGAAAGATATTGAAGCGACTGAAACATTGTTTTTTGCAGAAACAATCCGAATCGTATAGTAAAGACACTGTTTTATATTCCAATTTACTATTTTATTTTTACTGCTTTTCTTAAAAGTTTTGTATTGATTTCTTTTTTTTCCATAATAATGTGATTCATCACGTCTGTTTTTCACATCCAATTTTTTGATTATTTTAATAAATCAATTTGCAATTAGCTGTTCTTCTTGTGTTTGATATTTAATATAAATTTCTGTAGAATTTTCTTATTAATGATTTTAATTGTCGTCGTTTTATATATTACATTTTTTTTGGATGTTTTCACGTCGAATATTAGCTGGTATACAACCGTCAAATGTTCCACATCTTGGCAATTACTTAGGTGCTATTAAGAGATGGGTTGAATTACAAAATTCTGGTGAACATCTTATCGTTATGTTAGCTGATTTACATGCTGTTACTTTACCAAGAGATCCAAAGATTTTGAGGTACGAATTTTGAATTTATTTAAATAATTTTCGTAGTTGAATAGCATATTGAACATGTTTAGGCAAACTATTTTAGAGACAACATCGTCGTTATTGGCTTGTGGAATTAATCCAGATAAAAGTATTATTTATCGTCAATCACAGGTGTGTATCAGAAACAATTTTGAAGTTTAAAACTAAATTAACTTTTTAAATTATGTCTTTTTAGCTACCACATCATACTACATTAGCATGGCTAATGGGAACTCTTGCCACTGTTCAACAAATATCTCATATTCCTACTTATAAGGTAAATGTATTTTTTATTCAAAATCGAATAGGTTTCTATATGCAAACTTATTTCATTTTAGTCAAAAGTAAAAGATGAAGAATCTATTCCACTTGGACTATTTATGTATCCTATACTTCAGTCAGCTGATATATTGTTATTTAAATCAACACACATACCTGTCGGGGAGGATCAATTACCTCATTTACATTTATGTACCACATTAATTGAAAAATTTTATCACATCTATAAAAAAGAGTTATTTCCTATGCCAAAACCAATGTTTAGTATGTTTTTACATTCTAACTAAAGTAATAATTAGTTTTATACTGTTTCTTTTTTTAAGCCGAAACAAATCGTATTCGAAGTTTACGTCATCCAGAAAATAAAATGTCAAAATCTGATGCAGATCCACGTGGACGAATTGACATTATGGATACGGAAGATCTTATTCGTGATCGTGTCATGAAAGCTGTTACAGATTTTGAATCTCGAATAACATATGATCCTGAAAATCGACCGGGTGTATCAAATTTAATTGATATTTTCTCTGGACTAACAGGCGAAATGCAAGAAGATATTGTTGAACGAGCGCAATTAGAAGGACTTAATACGAAAGAATTTAAAGAAAAATTAATTAAAATTATCATAGAACATTTTAAACCATTTCGAATAAAATATTTAGAATTAATGAACGATCACAGTTACATTTATGATGTATTACAGCAAGGACAAGCTAAAGCTGCAGTAATTGCTGATCAAACACTCAATGAAGTTAAACAGACTATGGGACTGGATTAGATTTTCTTTTCTCACTTTTATAACCTTGTTGTTGTAACATTGTTTTGTGTGACATCACGGGATGTTTATACTTCTTTTTTATGCATACCTTTTGTTACGTTTTGATAAATAAAACCATAAAATATTCTTAGTTTTAAAACGATTTTCAAATGGTTTGCATCAGACAGATGGATTGTGATCTGTACAAAGTGTCACTGTCAAGTCGACGTAACGAATACAATAGACGTGAGTATTTTTATTAAATATTTCTTTTTTAAGCAAAAGGATAACACATTTGATGCAGAACTTGGCTTTCTATCAAGTATTCTTTTAGAATTTACTGGATGTAGATTCAAGAGTTGTGTCACTTAATTTTCATGATCTTACACGAGTTTTCATTAGTATTGTTAATGATAGCTATAAAGAAGTTTGAAATAACTAAGATAGTTCTGTCTTATAACCGATAAAGGACGGGGAACGGTAAGAGCCAAAATCCTTTCAAGTCAGTCTTATATTACCTCATCTGATGCAGTTTTTGTCCGCGATCAACGCTAACATATTTTTAGTCCTTAAAAACCCTTTTCAGCGACTGTGGAAACATTTTAGCAAACAAAACCCTTCTCGCGTTGAACGACCTTAACTCAAAGCATTTACATTATTCCACCTCTTTCACCAAGACCAAATATCAACAGTTATACACCTTTCGATAGACAATTTCACGGGCTACAAAGTGATATATAAGATAGTCTTAAAAAAATGTAATCCAAAATACTCGGTTCCATCTCAGTAGACCGGTAGGTCGACGTCGTTCATGTTTATAATATCCATTTATTTTCTCGTTAACCACTCTACTTTATATATCATTCGGTAGCGACTTTCACGGGCTACAAAATGAATAAATAAGTCTTTCAAAAATATGCC